GGACACTATTAATACCCTCACTTTTCAGGAGAGGAAGTTGGACACAGAGAATTTAATTCACTCACCCAAGGTCCCACAGCGAGGGAGTGCCAATGTCTATCCCAATCCTTTGTCTGAACCACAGCTGTTGCTGTTGTAAAAGAGATCATTCTTTACAATTAATTTTTTCCTTAACAGGGTGATCAGGGAATTCCCGGAGACCGAGGCCCACAAGGTGAACAGGGAAAGCCAGGCCTTCCAGGCATGAAGGGAGCCGTAGGTCCTGTGGGGCCACCTGGAGACAAAGGCTCTGTGGGATCCCCCGGGCACCAAGGCCCTCCTGGCATTCCGGGCGTCCCCGGCACTCCAGTAAGTGGTACCGAGAGCTCCAGAGCTCCTGGCTGGTACTGACCACATATCCCTTTTCCCATGAAAGCAACAATAGTTCTTTCAAAATAAATGAAATGAGCCTAACGTGGCCTCTGCGAGGGTACAATTGCTGTCATTTCTTTCAGGTTATGTACCAGACCTTCTGCTAAGCACTCCCAACACGTGACCTCCCAGCATCCTCACAATGAGCCTGGGAGGATGGCTGTCCTTTCCATCCGACTTAGCAAAAGCAATAACTTGGAGTCAACTTGTCCAAGGTCACAGTTATTTAGTGGATCAAACCCAGGTCCAACTGACTCCAAAGCCTTCCTCTTAAGTACTATCTATAATGCCTCCTCCCACCACACAGGAAATACATACTATGTCTGTTTCATATTAAAACTTCACTTTGATGAATATCAGAACAGCAGATCTGCTGGAGTAGTACTCTGAAGTGGAGACCATTTGGGCCAAGAGTGTTTGGTTAAAAAAGCCAGGTCTTTATTAGTATCCTCAGAAGGCATGGTGGGTGCCATTCCACAGAGGAACTTCATCTGAAAATGTCCATGTCAGGAAGAAGGAGAGTTTGGGAATAAGGTCAGGGAGTTAAGGACATGCTGTCCTCAGATGTCATTACCAGACAGAGGGCCAAATTGAGCATTCCCAGAATTTTCAGACTTCTTTATTTTTACCCACTTCCCCTGACCTCTACTTGAATAAAACCTGTAGAATGGCTTCTCTGTGTCAATAATTGGTATTTGATGCATTAATTCAAATTTATTTGTCCCATCTGCAGTGAAATTAAAATGTTGAAATAGGACATTCTTGGAACTACTGAGTCCTAACAGCAATCATCATCTGAACCCAACACATTGTCTTTAATTTTATACCCCTGGATAGTAACCACCAAATACAAAGAAGAGTAATAAAACACTTTGAAATCCTATCCATCATGAAAAAATGATAGCTCCCTTTTGAAATATCAAGGTCTATAGTAAAACATTACTATTATATTGGTAGATTCTTTGTCAAAGTCATGTAAATTTATTTGTGAAGAAGTTAAAAACGCAATTGACATCATTTACCTACTTGCATTTTCTCTTAAAAAAGAAAACTGCTTAATAGAAATAGGCCTGCAAAGTACAAATTACAGAATAAACTTTACCATGAAATGGGAAAAACTTAGTAAGCTTTATCCCATGCACAAAATATTTAAAAAAATAATCTGGAATACTTAGAATTCTTTTCCAGGTTGTCTTCCTTTGAAAATACATAATATCAGTGAGGTAATAACTGTACCAGTGTCCAGTGATTGGTTAGAAGTTTAGTTGTGCCTGGGATATTTAACATCATGATAACACTGCTCAAGTTCTGTAACTTCAGGAAATGAAGTAATATGAAATGTCTTTCCTGACTATATGAAGCCTGTCTCTCCATTCAATAGGAAATATGTTCACATCACTGGTTATGATTTCAGCCCACAGCTTTTAAAGCAATTAGGCACTTCAACTTCTTTCTAGCATTTGATCAAAACAAAAGAAATGTATTGCTTAATATAGTCAGTGGCCGAAAGCATTTTGCCTGATAAATGTATCTCTACAGAAGCTTCAAGTATGCATGCCAACCCAATATTTCTATTCTCTATTCACTTCTCCTGTGCTTTATTTTAACAGACCTTTTTTTTCTTCTTTAGGCTGATGCCGTTTCATTTGAAGAAATAAAGAAGTATATTAATCAAGAGGTACAAAGGATTTTTGAAGGTTAGATTTGCTTAATAAACATTTCTGAATCCTTTACCAATTCTCATCCACTGTGGAAAACCCCTGCAGCAACATTCTCAAAAGATGGTCATTAAACAAGTTTAAGAGGCAACCCACTTTGTGATGGGAAGCTCTATTTGATAGAAAAATTTTCCTTATGCTAAGTTAAAGTTGCCTCACTATAACTTCCTATCATCATTCTTGGTCTGCTGCAACAACACAGGTAAAGTATCTTTCTCTGTTCAAGTGTGACCACCCTTTGGGTATTTTTCTTTTCTCTTTTTTATTTATTGATTTCATTGTTGTTGTGCTTATTTATGCATTCATTGGTTGCTTCTTGTATGTGCCCTGACCAGGGACCAAACTCACAACCTTGGCATATCCAGACGATGCTCTAATCAAATTGAACTACCCAGCCAGGGCCCATGGATTTTTCAATATCCTCCTTCGTTTTCTCTTCAGTGGAGTGTGCCCAGCTCCTCCATGATCATTGCCCTTTAGAAATACTTAATCTTTAAATGTCCTTCATTCACCCAGGAGAATTTGAACAGGGCAGTGTCTTTTGACATAGGCCAGAGTCAGCAAACTATGGCCCACCAGCCAAATCCACCTACCACCTGTTTTAGTCGGCCCAAATGAGAATGGGTTTTACTTTGGAGGGGAGATGCAGGGGAGTACATTTTTAATGGTTTTTTTTAATCAAAAGAATATTTCACGACTAGTGAAAATGACCTAAAATTCAAATTTGTGTCCATAACTAAAGTTTCATTGAAACACAATCACACTCATTCCTTTATGTATTTTCTCTGGCTGGTGTCATGCTAGGGCAGCAGAATTGAGTAGTTGTAACAGGGATAGTATAGCCTGCAAAGCCTTAAATATTTACTTTTGCAGAGAAAGTTTTCTGACCCCTGATAGAGACACTTCAATAACACAGCCTAAGATAGCATTTTTTGGGTAAGCAACCTTATCACATTGTTGATTCATATTGAGTTTTTAATTAACTAGCAACTTTGGATCTTCCTTGTACAAAGTTTTTAAAATTAGCTGTTTCTCATTATGCACTGTTTTCATATTTAAAATATAGGTGTGCTATTTTATGTTGCTTCTTATTAAATTTCAAATGATTCCATTTCACACATTGTTCCAACCTGAAGATACCTTTTGGAATGTTGTCTCATAAGGCAGGTTGGCCGACCTTCATCACTTTGTGTTATCTCTAAATTTTGTAAACATCTCATCATTCTAAGTTTTTTTAGAAAAGCAAGGAAGAATTCATTGACCACAGCCAGAACTTTGACACTTCGGGTGGTGAAATAAAGAAAGTCATAGCAGACGCAACAGGAGAGCCTAGGCTTGGCTGCTGTGGCTCACTGGCAAGTCAGAGAAAAGAGGACCTTGCAGACCGGTTCAGGGGGTTGCCCGGGACACGCTGCCACTGCCCATTGTTCCCCTGGTTGCTAGTCTTGTGGGGTCTTTTAGAGGTTAGGGTAATAGGTTCCTGTGAGGGAAAGAGAGGGGAAAAGGAATGTCACGGGTATGCTTCCTGGGGGGACAGTGTGTCATCATTCTAATTATTGATAGACATTTTAAACTTAAAAAAGAGTCAAGGATTAGGCCTTTCTAAATGCCATTGCATTCCTCCTGCTCATTTGTACGCCATCTGTTAGTCTTTTGTTTTTGTGAGTGCTGATTCCATGTAGTTGTCCTAAAATCTACTCTGCATTTTTTTATCTATCCACAGGATATGACATGATTTTGTCAGGTGATTTGCTCAAATCAAGATCACTCCCCTCAACTGTGAACTTAATAAAGTGGGAGTTATTTGTCAGAACATAAATCCACATTGGCTCTCACGGCTTCTGCTTCTTTTGCAGAGTGCCCTGCCCTTGCTAAGCTAAAAATACATTGTTGAATTTACAAGGAATAAGATTACAAAACGCCCCAAGTTCATCTATTAACATTTCTACTGCAAATGTGGAGTTAGCTCCTCTCCAAGAAGCTCTGGTTATTTTAAGCAGTAATTAGCATCAGAGACCAAAATCTCAGTGCTTGAGTGCACATTATCTTATTTCACATGAACACTGGACACAGAGCAGAGGAACATGGGGACTTTTAGCCACTTCAGTGACAAAAGAGGAAAAAAAAATGTTTTCATGAATTCATGCTGTTGATCTCAGTTTACCTTGATCTCTACTAAGTATCTGGACAGTGCTTTACATGATAGTCTATTGATATAACTGTCTATTCTTTCTTTTTTAAGCTACCAGTTTTCTCTTTCTAATTTTAATGTTGCCCCCACATTTGAAAATCCCCTTTTATTTTCCTTTATTGACCTTTGAATCAAGCATCATGGATCAGGCTCCAAACTTTGCAATTCAGACATTCCACCTCAACAATCATCTCTCAAGTATCTCTGCCTGACAAAGAAAAGACACAGCGGCTCTCCGGAGGACACTGAAGAACATAGAGGCATGTGCAGGATGCAGTGCACAGTGAAATCTCCAAGTGCCCTTGTTCAAATTTCATTAATAACTACAAGACAGCAGCAGCAGAACTTTATAGCAAGCATAGGGCCCTTCTGAGCATCGGGCCTTGTGTGACTCACAGGTAGCCTGTCCATGAAGCCGCCCCAGGCACAGGGCACCTAGGATCTCAGCACTGCAGCTTTAGTAGAAGAGGGAGAGCCACAAATACATGCTTTTGGACTGCAATCTAAAATTTTCCTTTAATTCTCAATTTCCATGAGTTCTCATGTCAATTATCTTCTTTTTTTTTCTTATGAGGGCTGGTGGGCCCACGGGTATTTTATTGAAATAGCAGTGGTGGTTGATAATACTTTCTAGATTCAATGTAAAAAAAAAGTCTCAATATTGCAGGATATCTATATATTATGGTAAATATAGTGGGTTCCATTTATGAGATGATGGGTTTTAATGTTTTATTGTTTGGCATGGAGGTGTGGACTCAAACAAACCACACTGCATAGATAATGTAAAGAGATCACTGAAAAAAAAAATTTTTTATCATTGACACTGTTACAGACATTCCCCCATCTCCTCCTGGCCTTTGCCCATCTCTATTTTATTTTTCATCTCAAGCAGCTTTAAGGTTGAACTTCGATTTTGTAAAAGACTTTAGATAAAAATATATATTAAATACTTCAGCAGTTCATTAGTCTCATTTTCTTAAGAGCTGGTTAAGAATGTCAGAAAATATAACCAAGCACTACCAGGAAACTGTTTTGTGTTGAGATCTTCGAGATAATCATTTTCAAGTCCTGTGGGCGCTGGATGAAGGCCTGGCCCCCCGTGGCTTGCCCTCTGCCTTGAGCAGAGGAGACGTGGCTCCTTCTTCCTGGGCGGGGCTCCCGTGTTGCCCACTCCCAGATCATTCTGTGGTTACTCCCATGAAAGGCTGTCTGCCTCCTGCAGAGGAGGCCAGGGGGCGTTGATCACTCTTGGCTGTCTTGGGGCAGCCTTGCCTGGCTTCACTTGCTTGACAACTCCTCCTCTCAGTCCTCCAGCTCCCCCTCTGCATTTCCACCCCTTCTTCCTCTCTCAGGGTCCCCCCTGCCCACTGGAACCTGCAGGGTGCAGTCTCCCCAGCTCTCCTCTGGCTTCACCACCTCTCCCACCCTCTCCAGCCTGAGCCCAGCTCCCTCACAAGCCCCAGATGTCTCAGCCTCAAGACAATATTCTCAAATGGCCCACAAGGAAATTCTTTCCTGAGACATCTTGACTCGGAGACTCCACGTGTGATACCCCCTCTCCTTTTACCTCTGTCGGCACCAGTCCCACAAAACCCTCTTCTCCCAAACAGAATTGTTCCTGAAACCCAGAATTTAGTTATTTAGCACTTTAGTTCACTTGTCTCAAGATTATCCAATTCAGTCCATTTACTTTTCCATTTAGAAGTCTCTTTCCCATGGCTTCTGAACACTACTTACAAAACGAAAAAAGAAAAACTCCATTTTCACAAATCATAGAGCTCCAAGGTCACGGTTCTCCTTTTCAAGAAAGCTTTCTCTGTAAAAGCAAAGAGTAACTTTTACATTTAAAACAGTTACAGTTAAAAATATTTTCCATAGTCTAATCTCTATTTCATCCAATTTCTTCCTGTTTTTTTGTTTGGATCTGTCATTCAGTTTGTAGGATTTCCTCAGGATTTCCATGGCTGTCCGCTCCTGCATATGAACTGGGTTCTAACAAATTGAGAGTTGTGAGTGAATGGAGAGGTTTGCCAATCATGAGCTTCATTTTGTTATTTTAAATATATTTTTATTGATTTGAGAGAGGAAGAAAGAGATAGAAACATCAATGAGAGAGAGAGAGAGAGAGAGAAAGAGAGAGAGAGAGAGACATCGATCTGCTGTTTCCTGCAGGCCCCCCACTGGGGATAGAGCCTACAAACCAGTCATGAGCCCAGATTGGAATTGAACCTGGTAAACTCTTGGTTCATAGGTCCCCGCTCAACCACTGATACACCATGGCAGTGTGAGCTTCACTTTAAGGCAGTCTAGCTGGGCTTTTGCATTGAGGGATCCTCAGATTTCAGTGTCTTTAAGTCTCTCCTCTTAATATGATCAGATCCCCCAATGAAAACACTTCCTGCCAGCATTTGGGGAGCAAAGTCCGAGAGCTGAGCTGGGGCTTTAGCCCAGAACCTGTAAATGCTCATTTATTCTCCTTGCTTTCAGAAGAAAAGCCCACGTCTCAGTGGATGGAGTCTGTGGCCCCCAGCGCAGAGACAGTCTGTTTAGCCTTTTCAGATAATAAACCTCAGTCATTTGCTAGGCTTGGGCAGGGCCAAGCCCAGCAGTGTAGAGCAGAGACAGAGATTTCTGACTATTTCTTAAACAGGCTTTGAACCAATTCTCCTTATTTTAGTTCCATCCATTACCCCCATTTCCAGATGCACTGCCAATTCCCCTCTTTCTGGTTCTCAGTTTCCAATATTTTGTTATACTCTCTCCTTTCACAGTCTCTCTATTCCTCTGGTTTTATGCCTTTAAAAAGATCTTACTTGTTTTTCAGGGATTCAGGAAAGAGTTAAAAGAGAGGCATGTGTTCAACCCACCATCTTTACCCGCAATAACATTTCAAAGCAACAAGTTTATAAAGGTGGCAAAGGACTGGGCCAGAGTTAAGTGCGGCAGGAACAACCTTTGGGTGATGATGAACCACAAAATGAATATGAATTCATTAAACAATGCTATTGAATTTGCAGTTAAAATGAAATCAGAAAATAATTACTATAATATGAGAGGAAATTACTCTGTTGATATGTTTGCCCCTCGGGAGAGAACTGCTTATAGTTTTGGTTTCCACATTTAAGCGATGAACAGAAAAGCCCTGGGATAGGGGAGCCAAAAAATCTGATTTACAAAACAGATTACCAAGCCTACGAGTAAAAGTTGTTTAAGCTGAAGGCTAAGAGGTAACAATATTTTTGAGTATGTGACTGATTTCCTAAGAGAAATACTCATTAGCTACCGTCTGTTTCCATTATGGAGCAGCAAAAGAAAATAAGTTGAAGCTGTACCAAGAAAATGGGCGGTTAAACATTTGAATGAGCGTTAGGAGGAAAAGATGAATTTCTCTCTTTGAAAATATTTACAAATTCTATCTGTGAAATAGAAGATAAACGTGGGCTAGATGACATCTGAGTATCCCTTCTTCATATAGGTAATTTCTCACTACTTTATATGAATGTCTGCATTGCATTGCTGAACTCCTTCTCCAAGGAAGGCAAACCATCGGTCTTGTTTGTTAGAGTGATTGCCAGGGGTTTGCCTTGGCAGGTGGAATATGTGAGTTTAGCTTGTGCAAGCTCCTGTCTGAACTCTTCAGTTTCCTGCCTCATTAGAAAGCATAGCCAAAAACAGTTTCATTGATGAAAAATCGCTGAAAACAGAGGAAAGGCAATAAAAAATACAGGTCTTTACAATTTATTTAGAGGCTCAGGAACATGCTATTTTACATAATAGAGCATTAGAGTAGGGTTCTGAAGAAGTCATTACATTATACTTAAATGGCTATTTCTGAGCATAGCTTAAAGCTAGATAATTTACAGCTAGAAGCAATTATTCTAAAATTTTTCTATTTTACTGAAAATATTAAAAACCACCCCAAGCAAATTACTTGTAAACTTAATTCATACATGAGAGAGGAAAAATTAGTACTGTGAATACTTGCACTTAGACATTGAAGGTATTCAATGAGATCTGTCTTAAATTAAGAAAAATTATACTGAAATGCACATATATTTATTAATATATATATCTTTTAAATTCAAAAACAACAGTTTGCAAAGTTTCAAGCTATAATCATTGAATTTCATATTTGTTTATAAAATACCCAGTTTATAATTTAATATACTAAAGATATAACCATTCAATGTATAGATTTGCAAAATTATAACTATATATTAATTACAACTGTGTTTTATCTGTTATTAATAATGTAGTTTCATTCAAGGATATAAGGTTTCAAATACTACATGTGTTATCTATTGCTGCATAAGAAAATAACTCGAGCCCTGGCTGGTTTGCCTCAGTTGGTTAGAACATCGTCCAGTACATTGAAAGGCTGCAGGTTCGAATCCCAGTCAGGGCACATACCTCGGTTGCAGGTTTGATCCCTGTTTGGAGCACATACAAGAAGCAGCTAATCAATGTTTCTCTCTCACATTGATGTCTCTCTCTTTTTCTCTCTCTAAAATCAATAAAACATATCCTCTGATGAGTATTTTTTAAAAAGAAAATAACTCAAAACTTCAATGGCTTAAAAAATTTTATTATCTCACATTTTCTGTGGGTCAGAGACTTGAAAGGTTGCTTAGTTGTGTGGTTCTGTCTACAACAAAGTCAGTCAGGATGTGAGGCAGAGTGGAAGTCATCCAAAAGATTGATGGGCTGGAAGACCCACTTTCAGGTGTACTTACATGGCTGCTGGCAGGTGGCTTCGTTCGTCCCCATGTGGGTCTCTCCACAGAACATCTTGAGTGTCTTCAGTGCCTTGGGTGACTTAGTCTACCTTGTTACACACTGTCAATTCTGCTTTTTTCTACTTATTAGAAATGAAAAGTAAGTTCCAGGCCACACTGGAGAATGGAGGAATTAGACTTCATGTCAAAGAATTTGTAAACCTATTTTAAATCACTGCACATTCACAAGATTGTTGGAAAGTAGCTTAGATTTATTTAAAACCATTTTTTAATATGAACCTAAATTCTCTCCACAAGTCATTGCCAGAGGTTAGTTAGATTCTACGTTATTGTTCTGTCCACTAAATCGGCTGTATCTCTGAAGCACCGAACACTCTCAGATCCTGTGATCAGCACAGCTGGTCTTCATCTATATTCAAACAACTTTGTGCAATCCATTTTATTTGACCAATCAAAAACCTCTCTCAGCAATCAGACCATTTGGTAAATTAGATGTGCTTAAATTGAAAGCTAAATCTTTTTTTTTCATTGACTTTCATGTAAAAAATATTTGGCATTTTTTTACCTAAAAGTATTCTTATAGCATGACGTTTTATTTTTCCTTTCACAAATGCAGAGAGGATGGCTGTGTTCCTCTCCCAACTCAAGCTACCAGCGGCAATGTTGGCTGCTCAAGCTCACGGGAGGCCTGGGCCACCAGGAAAGGATGGGTTACCTGGGCCACCAGGAGACCCTGGACCTCAAGGTAAGTCATTGGGTATAATATTTGTTTACCAGTTCTTTAATGCTCACTATTTATAACATGCTAATCACAGTTAGGCAATATATATATTCAATATATATGTATATATAAAATGATTTCATATATAATATCTTGTTAATATTTGATATTCTAGAAATAGATTTTTAACTATTACTTCTTCAAATTAATATTTGTTGTGATAATAACAGTAATAACAGGTGTTTATATATCACTAGAGGCCCGGTGCATGAAATTTGTGCATGGGGGAGGGGTTGTCTCTCAGCCTGGCCTGCACCCTCTTCAATCTGGGACCCCTCAGGGGATGTCTGACTGCTGGCTTAGGCCTGATCCCTAAACCAGCAGTCAGACATCCCTCTCGCAATCCAGGACTGCTGGCTCCTAACCACTCACCAGCCTGCCTGCCTAATTGCCCCTAACCACTCTGCCTGCCTGTCTGATCACCCCTAACCCCTCTGCCTGCCAGCCTAATCACCCCTAACCGCCCTCCCCTGCTGGCCTGATTGCCCCTAACCACCTCTGCCTTGGCCCACAACACTGTGGCTTTGTTTGGAAGGAGTCGACCCGGTCTAATTAGCATATTGCTCTTTTATTAGTATAGATTATTATCTGGGAATCTCAGAGTTGTTTTTGCCCCCCTGTTGATGTATGTAGACAACAAGAATCATCATCTTACTATCTTAAACTGAGGGGGGGAAAAGCTACTACTATAAGTAGTGATTTGGGGCCAGAATATTTTTTGAAAAAATTTAGAATCCTTCTCCCTCTAATAGAGCTTGTGGATGGTAACTTTGAATTTTAAAGAATTTCTTTTAGGGTTTCTAAAAATTTTGAAGCAAGACTTTTCTTAAATTGGCAAAAAATTGACAGACCAGATCTTGGATGTAGCTCAACCAGATTGATCTGGGAAGGCCATTTTCTAGAATTACGTTAGCGATCAGGCCAGGGGCCACATAGGCCCTGGTTTAGAAGATTCACAACTCTGACAAGAAAACAATAAATCCAATGGGTATGTACCATGAAAGATAAGACCAGGGAAACTATATTGCATGTGTTACCATGGAGGAGCTCAAGCGCTCTCCTTGTTAAATAATCAAAAGTTTGTTTAGGAGAAAAGAGAAAGCTCACAACAGAATTACCTAGGGATATAGTCCACAATACCATATATGCAGAGTACTACTTTTCATCCACTAGTTCACTTTCCTTCTTACTGCTCCTCTGTAACATCAAGCCTCATTTTCAGTAGGAAGTGCCCCAAGGAGATTGACATGCCCTCTCTCAATGAAAAGAGCAAGAACTGTCCCCAAATGCAGGGTTTGTTAGGGTCCTAAGTTACAATCCAGAGTGACAAGGCTTCTGGCTTCATGAGCCCAGTGTAAAACAACAATACAGTGGGGCCTTGACTTATGAGTTTAATTCGTTCCATGACAGAGCTCGTAACTCAAATTACTCGTATGTCAAATCAAAAAGTGAACGAGTGAGACACGTGATGCTGGGCTGATGTTGTGGCGTTCACTGTGACGTTCGCTGTGCCAACTAGCGGTGGGGTATCTGAAGCTGGCTCGTAACCCGAATTTTAGCTCGCAACTCAAAGCAAAAAATCGGCCGAGAGACAGCTCGTATCTCGAAAAACTCGTTAGTCGGGACACTCGTAAGTCAAGGCCCCACTGTAGTAAAATCACTGTAGTTACCTGGAGTGCATTCTATCTTTCCCTTAGTTAATAGAGAGGTTTGGCAGGTAGTCGGAGGAAAAGTGTAGAATCAGATGCAGCCTTCTGTGTGTACACGGTTGTCTAGAGGGTGGTTAATTATTATCTTTCGCTAGTTGGGTCTGTTCTGAAGTTAGAATTTATGAGACTGGAACAAAGAGCTTGAAAGCCCATCTGAAGATACATGATGCCTCAAAAGACCTGAAGAGTGTGGACTGTTCACACTTGTAAGAGAAAAGCCTTGGGCAGATGCCTCAAACAGTGGCAGTCTAAGAGGACAAGGACAGTGGAAAGTCAGGACATCGAGGAAAACCGTTCTGGAACTGGAGTCACCTGTCCACACAGCACCTGTCACCAGGCTCCCTTCCCGTGTAGGGGAGGCCCATCTGGAAGGATCTCAAAAGCAAAGCTAAGTCCACAGTGTCAGTGAAGTTTTTGGAAACCAGACTTCCATTCACCATGTGACTTACCTTACCTTTTGTGATGGATTTCTATGGGTTCTACCTGCAGTTCTGCTGAGGAGATCTTACAGCCTGCTTCCATTCCTGATATACGTTTCGGATGCAATTCTTGAATTTGAAAGCCTTGCCCAAATGATTTTCAATTTTTTTTAAACTGAGGTTTAGTGAAGTTGATAAAACTTTGGTCTCATCTGATGGTTTTTGACAATAGACATGTCTTGAGTATAATTCAGCTTGGTGACTCCCCAGGGTTTACCTGATATCTCCTTTGCAGTACTTAGTAAATGCCAGAAATGCAGCAGAAAAATAAAACTTGCAAACTATGGGATTCATTTCTGAAGGAATATTTGCCTATCATCAAGCTATACTGATAATTCTCTCTAAAGTCACAGAGAAGCCCTAGCCAGTTTAGCTCAGTGGATAGAGCATCAACCTGCAGACCAAAGCATCCTGGGTTCCATTCCGGTCAAGGGCACATACCTTAGTTGCAGGTTCCTCCCCAACCCAAACCCATGTAGGAGGCAACCAATCGATGTGTTTCTCTCACATCGATGTTTCTCTCTTGTCTTTCTCTCTCTTCCACTCTCCCTAAAAATCAATGGAAAAATATCCTCAGGTGAGGATTAACTAAAAATAAATAAATAAATAAATAAATAAATAAATAAATAAATAAATAAATTTTAAAAAAAATAAAGCCACAGAGAACCCTGACTGGAAAAAGGAAACCAAGGGGCTACCGCTGGGTTTTTGATGCCTTCCCAGGAGTTCACAAGGAACTGAAGTGCTACTCTCTGGTAGATAAATAGAATGAAGTGCTCAGAAGATGAAGTTATGCATGTAACTTCAAAGCTTTGCTCCACTCAATGTAAAAGTTTTCTCAAAAAGTAAAGGAAAAATGCATGTAAAACTGCTTCCCTAGTGACCATGTAAGCCTCAGGTGCCGCTGGCTGAGTTTGTCCTCTTAACACACGGCATGGCTGAGTTTGAGACAAGGTTGCAGTGAGGACGCAGCCCAGAGAGGGAAAGGAAATGTGGGCGCCGAGCAGCAGTGTGTCTGCCCAGTTATGAATTCTGTTTGATGGTGGCTCTTCTGGAATTTCTGAAAGAATTAGCTTGTCAGTGTTTTTTCAGAAAATAAATCCATTTTCATTTGAAATAAAGTGATTTGGTTTGAAATATGCACTATAGAATGAGTCCCTTATTATATTACTACTAGAGGCCCAATGCAGGAAATTTGTGCAAGAGTAGGCCTTCTGTCCCCCGGCTTCTCTCTGGCACCTGGGACCCAGGCTTCCCTGGCAGCCCTAGCTTCCTCCAGAGGACATCCGGTCTAATTAGCATATTACGCTTTTATTATTATAGATGTGTAGGGAAGGACACGAATTTGAAGGGGTCTGCCTCATTAGTTTCCTGTGCTTATTTTGAAAAGCAGTAAATATGTAAAAAGCAAGGAGAAAATCCATACGAGAGTATTAGAAGCACGTGATCCAACTTGGAAAAGGGAGGTACTGCTCCTGCAGAGGTTGTGATCATGGAAACTGGGGACCCTCCTGAAGCCCCCTGATCTCTCAGTGAAAATAGTGAATCATTCTGATTCAAGTTGGGTCACCTCATTTACGTTTTTTCTAAATTCTCAAAGTGGGTGATTGTTGGCATCTTTTTAAAATTCAGACGCATTTCCAAACGGTCTTATATTTTAACCATCCCGGGGGTTTCTGATTGTTGCCTTCCCGATGCCCACTGAGAGCACCTTCCTTGGTGTGCGTTCCCACCTCAGTCTGCAGCGCGGGGCCTCCTCATTTGTCCTGGCTGGGATGAGCAAGATTGTGCCACGTTAGGATCAAAGAAGCCTCCATCCATCTGGCTTCTCCTGTGTAAGCAAGAGAGGCGCATTTTCCTAACAAACCCTAGCCTCTTGAATGAGTTTAAGAGAAAGAACTTCATTTCAACTTTTTCCAAAGCACAGTTATTTCTCCACCTCTGTGAAAACCGGGACGAACAGATGCCACAGTTGAAAGCCCTGTCCACTCAGGAGAAACAACCCCACTGATCCCCCCACCAAGGCCCCCCCCCCCCACTGTGTGGATGTGGGGTCAGGAGAAAACAGGTCCAGCCATTTCACATAACCTCCATCAGTTTTGAAAAGACACTATTGGGAATGATTTCTCTTGCTTTTAAACTTTCGAAGTTTACCTGTTATTGGTTTATAGGAAGGAAACTTGCTGTTATTTGTAAGCCAGTGGCCCGTAGAGTAGTTCATGTGACGGATATAGATTTGACCTTTAGAATTTGTCAGCAGTAGGGAGCTTAAGTAATGGGAGGCATGTGCGTGTCAAAATGACGGAAGGGCGCTGTGGTCCATTAGCAGAAGAAACCAGGGAGGCCGAACAACGTATAAAGCTTGAGGCAGGTCCCCACATGGAGAAATGCCAGTAACACTCCCTTACTGGTCTCATTTGCCCAGTAGGCATATAGATGCACAGATTTATAACTTTGGAAGAATATCCCTGGCATTAAGATGGAATTCTCCCTACTGGAAATAAATGAAGTCTATCACCTGAAAAACTACAGTAGCACTTAATACCTCTAGGTGCTTTAGATTAGGACACTGCTGTTGTTGGATTTCTGTTTTCTTACATAAGCTACAGTGATGTCAGACTGTCACCCTGCATACTTCCAGGCCATGAAAATACATGTGCATTTGCAAATAGACCCACCTTTTAGTCTTTTCCAAATTTCAGGGGAGGCCTACCTTAAGTGGGTGAAAAGCTTAATTCTAAAAAGTAAGAAAGCTGTTATTGACTTTATTAGTATTCTAATCTGAAACTTTGTTGTGAAGCAATTATAAAATAAGACCCTATAAGTTTATGGCAGCCTTCATCCATGATGAGTTTGGGACCTTGTGCAATTCAACAGCTTTGTCTATTAATAGTAGGTTGTTATTAACCAAAGAACTGAGAGATTTGTACAAATAAATTAGTACGTTTGATAGAAGTGTATATGTCACCCTCTTATACAAATATACAAATTATTAACTCTTGTTTTGTGATACCATATTCACCAAATTCATGTGGAATAATATATTTTTGCCTTAGTTAAAATCTGAAAACTGAATTTAAATATATAGATTTTAACAGAAATATTCATCATTTGAAATTGTGTTACAATCTTGTTAATTCTCTTGTTAATCAAAAGTTTGTATATCTTTAGTCATATTTTTTTCTTCCTCATTTTTTTAGCCTATGATCTTAAGCACCTACTGACGTAGCTTGAGGGTCAACTTTACAATATTTCTATAACAGTAAAACCTAGGTTGGACTATCAAATATACCTCAGGCATGAAATATTATTTTACTGCAGGAAAGTTTAAATAATGCATTTGAAAGGGTGCTTTCAAAATGACCCCAAGTATAAACATCGTTTCTTGTTGTTTACATGTACTAAATGAAAGTCACTTATATACAAGAAATCCTGGGAATATTTTAAAGTTGAATATGTATCAATTTGGGGTACTGGGCCACATGCTCAAGCCACTGCTCTCTCTAGGACAGAGGTCCTCAAACTTTTTAAACAGGGGGCCAGTTCACTGTCCCTCAGACATTCCACACATGCGCACTGCGGGCCCAGGACGAGTCAGCAGCTAAGCAGGACAGGCGGAGGCAGCAAAAACACCCAGCGGCCCGGATAAATGTTTTCAGCGGGCCACATGTGGCCCGCAGGCCGTAGTTTGAGGACCCCTGCTCTAGGATCTAGGGTTGTATTGAGTGTCTATAACATAGTTTTCAGATATAAATGTGTGAAGATTTCCCATTGGGTATATTTCTAGTATGCACCTCAAAATATATCGTGAATGTAATCCTTTTTTTGAATATTTTCACATTTATGGTCAGGTCACACCTCCAAAACCAAGAAATAACGATGTGGTGATTACATTGCTAACGTTATTTGGATAATAATGTATACACTGTATGGTCAAGTCAAGACTGTTGCTCCCAAACTGATGTCTAATCCTGAGCAATAATGAGAAATAATCTGTCCTATATACTGTTCATAGAGAACATTAAGTGTTCTCCTCCTATCATGTTCAGCTGTAATAACACACCTTTATGGACAGGCACAACTGAGTTAGGACCTATTGTGTCCTACTGAGATACTGTCCTACCTATTAGCCTTGCTGTGTGTCCACATGATTCTGCATGACCACTCTGTTCCTTCACGACCAAGAGCCATGGTTTAAGTATGAGAAAGTTGGAAATTAAAACTCTACTTACCATCACTGTGAAACTTATAGCCACAGACCCTTCTCTTCAATGTCTTACATGGATGGAGACATATATAAAACCCAGATTGAAATGTTTTATGCTTTCTTAAAGCAGGGATAAGAGGCACAAATTGCTCTGTACCTTTCTACCTGAGGTAACAATAAGCATATTCAGTAACAAGAATGATTTTGTCTTAAAATGTACAGAGATCCTAGGCCTAATTTATTTTGGTTAAAGTATCTTAAATTGATGAAGTGAGTTTAGAAGGATCCCTCAGTCTTCCCTTGCATTCTGCAACTGCTGAAGTTCCTCCTCTTTGGAGTTACGAACTGCCATGTTAAACAGGAGGTTGCTGTTTTAACGTAACTAGAAAGGATATCATGTTGCTACAGACAGTCATTTGAACCAAATCCTGCGATTTTGTCCTCTCCTGACTCCGAGATGGGTGAATTCGCATATATTCACGCTCTTACTGTCATTTACTAAAATGATGAGTTTTTGTTCCTTTCATTCTCTTTAATTCTTAGACTAAGGTCCATCTTCTTGCTGTCACATTAGTTTGCCCTTGTAGTAAGCAGAACTCTCAGTATATTTATATTTAGCTTGAACCTACCCTCCAGTCAGAATTCCTATTGAAGACACTCACACACCTTGTTGTAGCTATTTGACGGAAGATTAGAATGATTGATTTCAGTTACTTAGGTATCATTTTCAGTACCCAAAGTCTCACTATCAAACATTTGACTAATCATACTTTTTATGCCAGCAGTTGCATATTTCTAAGCTCCTCATTGCATCTAATCTGTTTGGTATGTAAGTTTGATATGTGGTTAATGCAAAACAGACAGTTAAAGTAGTATATTAGCTCTATGTTAAGTGGACAAATTACAGAAATACTCTAGACTAGAAACATGGCTTTTATTTGTACTGTGCTGCCATAGAATGCTCTTACTTCTGTGTCTCTCTTTTTATATATCTCTCCCTTAGGCTACCGAGGACAGAAAGGAGAAAGAGGGGAACCTGGAATTGGGCTTCCAGGGAGTCCAGGTCTCCCTGGGACTTCAGGTAATAGTGATATTTATCTGCACAACACAAGCAAGCTTCTAAAATAAGGAGCCATGCCTTTTCCCCTATGCCCTTATGTGTTGCTACAGGAGAGGTTGAATAATGTTGGTTGGAGTGAGGAAGAAAGAGCCATACGTGATCTGCATTCTGATGGGGTCTTTTATTTCATTAGCTCCGAGTTTGCCAGGCTCACCGGGTGCCCCAGGTCCCCAGGGACCCCCAGGACCTAGTGGAAGATGTAACCCAGAAGATTGCCTCTATCCTGTATCTCATGCCCGTCAGCGGACAGGTGGGAAATAAGCACAC